GGCTTTACTTCAGCAAATATGACTTTGCTACAGTGACCAAAATAAGGATGTGCAGGAGACCAAAATTTAATAGCATTTGGAGATATTTTGGAGGGCTGTGTAACTAGAGAAGGTTACAGAGATAAGGAACATTCAGGCCATTAAGGATTTGAAAAGAAGCATGAGAGTTTTAAAAATAAACCCTGATTGACTGGGAGCCATTGTAAGTCACCGAGCAGGGAGGTGATAGATAAATAGGATTTCTGCAAGTTGTAATGTGTGTCGAGTGGGGAGTTTGTACTCAATTTTGCTCAGGAGAATTTCCTACAGCAGTATATGTCTAGTCCAACAAAGAAGAATGTACATTTGGACTTGGTTCTTAAAAAACAAAAAAAAAGGTGGGCCAAGTGTCAATGGGCGAACATTTAGATCATAGCAACACCTTTATTGCAAGGTCGAGGATAACAGTGCACAAATGACAACAGTCAATCTAGAATAAGATAAATCAAAGTCAGAAGTCACACAACACCAGGTTATACTCCAACAGGTTTATTTGAAATCACAAGCTTTCAGAATGCTGCTCTTTCTTCAAGTAGGCTTTATTAATAGAGGCAAAAAGTATAAGAGCAAGCAGATTATGCTGAACTTGTACAAGACACTGGTTAGATCTCAGCTGGAGCACTGCGTACAGTTCTGGGTGCCACAGTATAGGAAGGATGTGAAAACAGTAAAGAAAGTGCAAAAAAAAAAGAGATTTACAAAGACACAATTTCAGGAATAAGAAATGCCGGTCGAGGGTAGATCAGAGAGGTTGAAACTATTCCCCCTAGAGAGAAAGTCAAAAGGAAATATGATAGAAGCTTTAAAAATCATGAGGGGGCTGGATAGAATAGATATGTAGAAACAGTTTCTGCTTATAAAGGATCAAGAATGAGAGGGCACAGACTTCAGTGATTTGAAAAAGAAGCAAATACGATGGGACAGAAAACTCACAACAAATAGTTTGTGTCTGTAATGCATTGCTTGGAAGCGTGATAGAGGCAGGTTCCATTCAAGAGGGAGCATTAGACAATTATTTAAATAGAAACAGTGTGCGAGGGCAGTAGAACAGCAATAAGTCATGATGCTCATTTGGAGAGTCAGTGCAGACGTGATGGGCCAAATGGTCTCCATATGCGCCCAAACACTTTTCAGGTTGAGAAAACATGGGCAGTACTGTAGTTTTGGAGGACCACAAGCTTCATAAATTAGAACGATGCACAGCAGGCAGGCATGTACTGGAACAGTTAAATTCAGCAATGTGACAAGGTATAAAAGTGAGGGCTTCAGGGAAAGATAGGCTGGGACAGACACGAAGTCAGATAATTTTAGAGCTAGAAATAGGCAATCAAATGAATTAGGTTGAAGGCTCTTCTTGGGGATGAAATAACACAAAGGTTGAGAACAGGCTGGCATTATTACTGATTTTTCTATCTGGAAGGATGGAGTCAGTAGCTAAGGAATAGTGTTTAAGTGTAGTTCAAAACAGCGGTTTTAGTTTTCACTATATTCAACTGGAGGAAGTTTCTGATCGCCCACTACTGAATGTCAGATAAACAAAACAGTCTGATGGATTAACAGCAGTGAAGAAACCAAAAGGTAAAGTGGATGTCACCAACGTACACATGAAAAATAAATTGGTTTCGGATAAATGAACCAAGCGATAGCATGGACATGCGAAACTGAAGTCACTCAATAATGGATTCTTGTGGGACACCAACGTAATGGTATGGAAGCAAGGACGGAGGCCATTTCGAATGATTCGTTGATTACGAGACAGATAAGAATGGAACCAGGTGACTAGTCCCAGCCAACTTGACAACATGGAGAAGTCGTTGCAGTCAACCATTCATGGGCTGCACACAGGTTGAAAGAGCAAGGAGGTTTCTTTTATGTGACCATGACAAAGGGAAATTATCAACTATGTCTTTGAAAAGAATCATTTCTGTCCATAGTTGTACACACTATAGTTGTCTGACAGTACAGAACTTCAGTACTGCTGAAAAATAAGTTTAAGTTTTCATCTTACACTCAGCAGGAGAATTTGCAAGTATACCAATACAAGGGGAAAATCCAACATTTGTACAGTGAGAGGAGTGCTGATTGGCTGACAAGTGGTATGATGAAGGATGCACCAACTAATGCTGATTGACAGTTACCTACCAGACTTCAAATTTAAAACTCAAACAGGTTGATTGCAACCATTAAGGATAGGCGATAACACAGGTGCCCCAAAAGGCTGTGTACTCAGCCCCTTACTATACTCCTTATATATTCAGGATTGAGTGGCCAATTCTGCTTTAACTTCATTTACAAAATTTGCTGATGACACCATCATAATGGGTCAGATCTTAAACAATGGTGAGACAGAGTACAGGAAAGAGATACAGAGCTCATTGGCATTGTGCAAGAACAACAATCTTTCCCTCAATGTCAGCAAAATGAAGGAACTGGTGATCGACTTCAGGTGGCGGAGTGGAGGACACACCCCTGTACTTATCAATGGTGGACATGATCGAGAGCTTCAAGTTCTGAGGAGTAAATCTCACCAATCTGTCCTGGTCCATCTACATTGGCACAAGAAAGCACACCAATGCCTCTACTTCCGCAGGAGGTGAAGGGAATTCAACGTTTCCCTGTGACTCCTACCAATTTTAATAGATGCACAACAGAAAGCATTCAGTCCAGATGCAGCACACCTTGGTATAGCAACTGCTCTGCCTAAGACTGAGAGAAATTACGGAGAGCTGTGAAAGCAGCCCAGTCAATCATGAAAACCAGCCTTCCATTCTGTCTATACTTCCTATTGCTTTGGGAAAGTAGCCAACATAACCAATGCCAGTTATACACTCTTCCATCGGGCAGAAGATGCAAAAGTTTAAAAACATGTGCCAATAGATTCAAGAATAGCTTCTTCCCCGCTGGAATCAGACTTTTGAACGGACCTTTCATTAGAGTTGATCTTTCTCTGCACCTTTTCTCAGTTGCAAGACTATATTCTGCATTCTGTTCTATTACCCTGATGTACTTAAGGTATGATTTGCCTGGATAGCAAGCAAAACAATATTTTTCACTGTAATTCAGTATATGTGACAATAATAAATCAAATCAAAATCAAAATTCTGATAGGTCAGGGCATTGTCCTGAGAAACGAGCCAAATGAATGGCTATCACCTATGTTGTTCAATTAAAGCAGGCACAGTGGATGTACAAGTTCTTTGTGCATTCAAGAACAGGGCAGAGTGTGAATGTGCGTAATATATGAATATATGTGAAACTGACTGATAATCCTAAATAGTCTGCCAATGCAAGTCGTTGCTCACACAGAATTATCCAGCAAATGTTGACCTGTCACATCTAATTTTGGATACTGTTTTGCAAGCGCACCTTGTTTGTTTCAGACAACTGAAGGGATGTGCTGAGTGATATGATCTACCAGTCTTTAGGATGAATTACATGGCAACCAACCTGGTTTAAAATCTAAACAAAGCTTGACAACTGTCAAGTAATTTGTGCATTCCCTATGGCAATGCCTCTTCCAGAGCCCATATATCAACCAGTCAATACACTCCTCTCATACAGCACAAATGTTGATTGCCCCTGAAGTGGCACTCTTGCAAATTGTTTTGAGTGCAAGATGAAATGTTTTGACAACACTTTTTTCAGCAATACCTCAATTTTAGTACAAGCTCTATAACATCATCATGACTGACTGCAATAACACAGGTTTATCAGGATAAAAACTCAGGCTTTAAGCTTGTATTTCTGAAGAGCTAACAAAAAAAGAGTCTGAACTATTCACAATGCGATAGTAAGAACTGCCGATGCTGGAGTCAGAGGTAACAGTGTGGAGCTGCAGGAGCACAGCAGGCCAGGCAGCATCAGAGGAGTAGGAAAGTTGACGTTGAGTTGGGATGCTTCTTCAGAAATGAGGGAGTGGGGAGGAGGGCTCTGAAATAGAGAAGGGAGGGGTGACGCTGGGGAACGTAGGTTGGACGGGGATAGGTGATACCTGCACTCACCTATCACCATCCCACCTATCTTCCCCAGCCCCACCACTTCTCTCTCTATTTATTTCAGAGCTCCCTTACCCCTCCCCCATTTCTGAAGAAGAGTCCCGACCTGAAATGTCAACTTTCCTGCTCCTCTGATGCTGCCTGGTCTGCAGTGCTCCTCCAGATCCACACTGTTATTTTTGAACTATTCACAATCCCTTGTGCATGAAACCTGAAGCTAGCACGCGGTTGCAAAAAGGTAATCAGGAAGACTAACAGAATCTTGGCTGTTATTTCAAGGGGAGTTGGAGTACACGAGGGGGGCAGTCTTACTGCAACTGTACAGATTATGGCGAGGCCACACCTGGAGAACAGTGGGTAGTTTTGGTCCCCTTATTTATGGGATGATATCACTTCATTGGAGGCAGTTCAGAGAGGTACGCGAGGACATTCTCAGATATGGAGAGATTATCTTATGAACAAAGGCTAAATACACTGGGTCTGTACTCATTGGAATTTAGATGGATAAGAGGTGATCTCGTCGAATCAGAGGATTCTCAAGGTCTTGGACAGGGTAAGTGCTGACAGGATGTTTCCCCTCATGGGACAGTCCAGGACCAGAGAGCATAGTCTCAGAATAAAGAGGCACCAATTAATACTGAGATAAGGAGGAATTTCTTCTGTCAGAAGGTTGATCATCTTTGGAACTCCTTGCCACAGACAGTTGTGGAGATACAATCGTAGTGTATATTTAAAGCTGAGATAGATTGATTCATGATCAATAGGAGACTCACGAATTATGGGGAAAGAGCAGGAAAGTGGATTGAGGAATATTAGGTCAGTCATGATTCTATTGAATGACAGAGCAAGCTGGAGGACTTGCAATCAAGATATAAAGTAACGTATATATAGTTTTTTCAACATTGGTAATCATCTATTCTTTTGAAACACGTTCCCACATATCCGGTTACAAGCTCAAAGAACAACTTACCTTGGAAACCATTTTGCATGTTCCACCCATGGATCATCTCCAGCTTCCCAGCTCCTCAGGCCACCATCACAATAATAACATTTCACATCATCATTTTGCCCTAGCGTTAAACAAAATACACAGTCAATTCTCCACTATGTTATAGAATATTTTGCGGTATCAGCAAATTAAGCACTTTCCCATTAAGGAACATTTTAAAAGGTACCAGAAACAGTAATAAGAAAGTATTGCCATTGCTGACAAGGCCTTGAAAAGTAGAAAGCAAATGGTCAATATACCTAGACAAATTTACAAACTAAGAACAATTGACTAACATTTATAAGTAATTTATAAGTAACATTATCTTGCCTCCTCTTTATCCCCCCCCAAACCAAAATATTAAAATGACCTAATAATCTCTAAACACATGAAAATAGTTGTAGTGCTTCCATTACTTTTGAATGCTTGAATTACAATTTTATATGCAATATTTAGGAGTGAAACAAATCAGAAAAAGGAAAAATTACCAACATAGTAGAATCCAGCTCGGGATAATTGTTCAGGTTGAATAAAATTCCTGACTGGCCATCTCAAAAAAGTCTGTAGTCGAGTATCGTAAGATTGCATCTCAGGATGTCGTGGATGCATAGCTCGAACTGTTTCATGTCTTTCTTCCAGTCTTTGAGATTCTGTATTACTCATTGGAATGTTACCCATCTGATTCCCCAAAACAAAGGGGCATGAAGGAAAATGTCTTCTATGTTCAGATGTTGCATGATCTCCAGGTTCCCAATTACTTAACTTTCCACCACAAACAAAACATGCAACCCTATCTTCTTCCCCAGTATAATAAAATCCAGCTTTAGCTAGCTCTGCAGGAATTAAAGAAGAATAAGAGGGCCAATTCTGAAAAGTTTGCAGTCTCATTTCTTCACTACACATAGCTGCACTGTACTGCGGATATCTCAATTGATGAGAAATATTTTCCACACTTCTGGAGACAACTGGATCACTAGGACTGCTGTACTCTAATCCAATATGAGCTCCATTTTCATGAAATGATGATTGCAAAGAGGTTGCAGTCGGAGAAAACGTGGAACGAACCGAAAAGTGTTCAACAACTGAAGGCAGATTCTGAATAAAACTGCAGCTTGGGTTGCATCTTCTGTGCCTTTCAACAGCATTGTCGCCCATTTGCCAATTGTCAACAGTGATTCCACAACTGAAACACTGCACTCTATCACTTACACCAGTGTAATAGAATCCAGCACGTGCAAGACTCCTTTCAGACACCAAAGCGTTTGACGGAAAGTGAGCAAACGTTGAAATTCGGTAAAGTTCTGAGGACAAATCATACTGCAGCTCTTGATCTCTGCCAATTCTGAAGTAACCAAAATTCTGATTTTGTAATATATTCATGAAGAGTATTATATAGAATAAGGGCTTACCTTTTTTGGAAGGAGCTTTGTTAACAGCTTGTCAAAACAAAAATGTTTCTCAGTTTGAAGTCAGGCTGGTGAGAGTCATGTACATGGGAGTGGATAAGTATTAAAATGCATGTCAGACCGCAGTTAAATAATGAAGCCATGAATCCAACCCAAACCTAGGAGGTTCCACATAGAGACGCTGAAATTATTAGAATGTTAATATCACCCCATTTAAAGAGAAACCTGCAGTGCCCACATTTAGCAACATGCTAAACAAGAACATCTATATGCTGTGGCTGGTTTCCTCTCAAGGTGAATTAAGAATCAGGATTTTTGATTTGGAGTTAAAGAGAACCATAATTAAACAAAGGAAATTCTGTGAAAGAAAGAAGAAAGCCAAGAAAAAAAAGCTGACACACCTAATTAACTGTAAAATTTTGGATCCTCTCAAGTAGCTCTGAAATGTTATAATTCTGTGGGAAACATGGCAGACAATTTAGCAAGGTCCCTCAGGAATGAGAGCAGGACCAACTGATCTGCTTTGGTGTTGGCTGAAAAATTAAGTCTTAAATTTTTGATTATTAATTTTCTCTATTTGTGGCTCTTTTTGGTTTCTTCAAATCCTGAAAATTCAGAACAGATTATCTGAGCATTCAGAACAATGCACTTAGCTGTAACAGGCACTTTAATATTCAAAACTGTGAGATGGCTTTGCTCATGTAATTGAATTTAATTCCAAGAGTGAAGAAATTTTTTTGTTAATACAAATCCATTTCTTAAATTTCTTCATTTCTTTCTCATATGCTACATTTCCAGATAAACATAGGCTAAGGAGTTTTTGTTTAACATGCTACCAAATGTTGCATTGCAAAAAGTAAGGGATCAGAGGAAACAGGAATTTCATAAACTATGATCAGTGCAAGGGTTTCAATTCAACATGGTACCAAGTACTCCTTTCAAAAAAAAAATTGAACTGCGACAGTGAAGAGAAACAAAGCTCCTTCCAAAAAAGGTAATGTGCCCATGTGAGTCTAGCCCTCCATTATGAAGTAAAAAGTATCAAATTTTAAAACTGGTATATTTTCATAATTGGAACAGTTAATGTCACAGGAAAACAACAATGGCCGATCCTATCAAGGTCTTCCAAAGAAACCTGAAAATGATGGGGAGAAAAAAAAAAGATAAATTAGCAAAAAAATTTGATTTTATTACAAAAAAAATCTTAGAAACATCACAATTTAATCAACAAATACTTTTGCCAGCAGTATTTTCATTAAAATACATTCATCTGCATATAATCCAATATACTTTAAAGTTCAAGGCATGAACAGGGTGAATAGAAAGTAGCTGCTCCTCTTAGCTGAAAGGTCAACAGGGGATTTGAGGAAAAACTTTTTCACCAACAGGGCGACAGGGGTCTGGAATGCACCGCATGGGAGAGTAGATAAGGCAAGAACCCACACAATCTTTAAAAAGTACTTGGATGAGCACTCAAAATATCATAATACTCAAGACTATGGCCCAGTGCAGGAACATGGGAATGGCATAGACAATAGTGTATTTTTGGTGGTACAAAGTGGATGGGCCAAAGGGCCTGTCTGTAGTCTACAATTCTGAAATACACTTATCTTGTCAAATTACTTGTCAAATTACAGGGCTGTTAACCACTTCACAATGAATGCAAATTTTGTTTTAAATTCACAGGATGCGGGCATCACTAACTGGGTCAACATTCTTTGTACATTCTCAGCTGCCCTTAACAAGGTGGAGACATGCAATCAGTTCAACTGAAGTCCATTTGGTGCAGGAACACCTACAATGCCATTTGGAAGCTTGTTCAGGATTCTGACCCATGGATAATGAAGAAACAGCTATAATGCTTCCAAGTCAGAAGAGTGAGTGGCTTGGAGGGGAACTTGCAGGCGCTGCTGTTCCCATATATCTGCTGCTCTCATCCTTCTAGATAGTTGTGGTCATTGGCTTAGAAGGTGCTGTCCGGGGATTTCTGGTGAATTTCTGCTGTGTATTTCACAGACAGTGCCCACTGCTGCCACAGACCATCAATGGGAGGAGGGACTGAATTTTTGTGACTGTAGCGCCAATCAGGTAGGCTGCTTTGTCCTGGATGGTGTCAAGCTTCTTGCGTGCTGGTGAAGCCACACTCATCCAGGCAAGCATCAAATGTTCCATCACACTCCTTACTGGTGTCAGGTAGATGGTAGACAGGCTTTGGGGAAATCAAGAGGTGACTTAGGTTGATCCTTAGCCTCTGACCTGTTCTTGTAGCCACAGTACTTATATGACCAGTCCAGCTCAGGTTCTGATCAATGGTGATTCCCAAGACATTGATAGTGGGGGAATTCAGCGATAGCGATACCAATACCATGGAATATCAGGGGCAATGGTTACATTCTCTCTTATCGGAAAGAGAGATTGTCTGGCACTTGTGGCATGAGTATTACCTGTCACTTGTCAGCCCAAAACTAGATATTGTGTGGATCTTGATGCATTTGGGCATGGACTGTTTCAGTATCCAAGGTCCTGAACGGTGAACATTGTGCAGTCACCAGCAAATATCCCCATTCCAGACTTTGATGGACAGTTGATCTTCAATAAAGCAGCTGCAAATGGCAGGCCCAAGGACACTACCCTGATGAACTGCAGCAAAGATGTTGTGGAACAGAGATGATAGATCTCAAATAACCTCAACCATGTTTCACTGAGCCAGACATGACTCCAACCAGCAGAAAGTATCCCTCCCAATTCCCACTCACTCTAGTCAATGGCACATACACTGAAGTCCCATGGCATTCATTGGATTTTTATTTCCAGATTTTTACTCAACTTTGAATACGGATGATGCTATTATTTTGAACCTGGTCCATAGAACATTACTTAAGTCCCTAGATTACTTGCAACAATGCCACAAGGACATCACCTCGCCTTAACTGCATATCTGTATTTCATGTAACAAAATGATTAACTAAAGCAAGAACTACACATTAAAGTGAAGATATCTACTTCCTAGTCTGTGGAAAGGTACAGAGTTAATGTATCAAGTCCTGCACATGATCACATCTTTTTTTGTTTTACTTGGTTTTGACTGTAGACTGAATAGAGAGGAGGACTGTGTCACAATAAAAGGACAGAATTTTTAAAAAGGTCACTGAAAGCCAATGAGCCTGGTCTTTACACTGCTGCTTTGTTCAAGCCATGGGAGTCGACAGTTGTAAATAGGCAGCTCCAACAGTCTGTGTACGAAGTCACATTTGGTCAGCAACAGCTGATGATTGCTTTGTGGAATTGTGACCAGCTACAGACGCCAAAGGCGATCAGCCTGACAACAACTCTCTGATCAGCTCCTGGATAGGTGTACAGCTTATGGGTGTGAATGATACTGGCAGCAGCCTTTCAACCGATCAAAACGTGGATGATATGTCTCTCTCTCTCCAGTTTAAAAAAACCTAATGGCTGAAGAAAGCCAGTTAATGTTCTCCCAGTATTTGCTGTAAGCGGTTACTGTTAGCCAATAAGTCAAAATTTATAATTTTTTAACCGGTCACTTCGTGCTTCCTGTGAAGTTGTGAGAGTTCCTGAAGGACGTGGAAAACAAAAGAAACACTCAGCCAAATCCGGAGGATGGGTGTAATCAAATTGTTTACCCAGTAGGAGGGAACAAAGTCTTTTTTTGCTTGTCTACATATGACACGGATGACTTTGCATATCTTAATTTTTTTAAAAAAGGTTTCAGTGACCACTTATGGAACAGCAGGGTTTGATTTCTAGCGTGCTACCCAGTAAGGGCATCACAAATATGACTTCTTCAGAACCCTGTTTTGCTCTCCATAGATACTGCCTGACCTGCTGAGTTTCTTCAGTATTTTGTTTTTATTTCAGATTACCAGCATCTGCAATATTATATTATATTTTCATTCTCTTTTCTGCACAGTTCAGATTTAACCAAGTGTTAAAGCAATCAGAAGATTTTACAAGTAGAAACATGTTTTACTAAAACTGGGCTAATTGCACACCCATCTGCTACCTTACCCTAATCCACCTGCCAACTGCTCCTTCCCTTACATATTTATTTTTTCATAGTAGCTGCTGTACATTTAAATTGTGGATATGCCACACTTACTCATGGGGGAGGGGCTTCCATGCTGATCAACTTCACAATTGGCTGCAATATTTTCTGTTTCCTAGGAGGAGGTTCATGTCCGGGAAATTTCAGAGGAGAAATAATCAAAAGGCAAGTATGGAATCTTTAGTCCAAACAGGCTTCTGGCCTGGATCAGAATTTCTAGGTCAACATTTTACAGTTTGAGATTTGGAATATAAACTGAAAAGGTCCTTGAAGAATGAAAAAAAACTACAGGGTTAAACACACTTAGTAACAAGGTGGGGCAAAACACAATTCCTCCCCACCACATCTTTTCCCAACCACACCCGACTCTGTCTAGCATCTCATTATTCATTCTGGCCCACCACTCCACACCTTGTCTATTTCCAAAATCCACTTCTTTAGCAAACATTTTCATTTTCTTTACTAGTATGTCCTTCTTTGTCTTGGTGTACATTATGTTTGATCACCTTATAATGAAGTATTTTAGAATGCTCTTTTATGTTCACGATGCATAGATATGCAAGCTGTTGTTTTATTACAGGTAGGGGCTCTTTTTAATATCTTATTTGCTAATAGGCCTCTCAAGAACCCACTTCAAATTGTCCTTTTAAATAACCAAATTTAATTGCACCAGGGAAAATCAAAAGTGATTGAGTTTCATTGTACCTGCACAAAAATGATCAAACCAAGGAAAACAATATGAATTTTTAAATAAATGAGTTATACTCAAAATTATTTAATGCCCATGTTTTCCATGAACTTGTACAACGATTCACTACTTAGCCTGCATGAATCAGACCTTCATCAAAAATGTGCCTACATCATTCAAGTCAAAATGTCAAAATTCTGCTGGACTAGAAGGGAGCTTCAAATTTTACTCATTTCCTTAGCCACACAGCCATTACTAGTTTGGTTCTATATCTTACTCATGAAGGTATTAAGAACGCAGCAATGAAACAATTTAATGGCTCAGTGTAGCTGTTATTTGAGTTGGTTTGCCAGTGGCTGATGTACGGCTCAAGATATCACCAATATGATTTCAAATCACTTTTGGGCTGATGTAGGCTTGGAACTACCTCCTTGCCTTGCTCTCAAAAGTGGATGGCAATACAAGACCACCATTAATAAAACTGCCAACAAAAACTGATCTGGATGAAGCATGAACAATGAGTCAAAAATCTGCCTTTTATTAGAGCTGGAGTTGGTTCGCTCAGTTGGCTAGACAGGTAGTCTGCAACGTACAGTAATGCCAGAGTGGGTTAAGTTTTGCCCCCCCACCTCCCCGGCTGAAGTTACACAATGAAGGTCTGTCCTCCTTGATCTCACCCCTCGCCTGAAGCACGGTGACTTTCGCGTTAAACCACCATCAATTGTATCTCTAAAAGGAAAGCAACCCTATGCACCTCTAGGACTACAGCAACTTTACCATGAAATGGAACAATTCATCAAATTTCAGTTATTTTAAAATCAGATCTCACAAGTGGACGTTCCTTATTAAAATAAGGATCGCTGGAAAAACTGAGCTCTGACAAGTTCTGAAGAAGGGTCCCAACCCGAAACGTCGACTTTCCTACTCCTTTGATGCTGCCTGACCTGCTGTGTTCCTCCAGCTCCACACTGTTGTCCCAGGGTTCTTTGGGGATTTTTAATCCTAATTAAGCTTTTTTTGGAGAAAACTTAATTTCGGACAAAATCACACTGCGTCAGATTACCATTCCTAAATATAAAGGGGAAAAGTGTATTTTCTTGTAAAGAGGCCGAAATACTGTTTCAGTGAAATCGCTACATTTGAATTATGTGAATAGGCTTTATCAGGAAGTGTAGCGTTTTGCTTTAACTTCATTCACTGGATAATAGGTGTCGCTGGCTAAGCCATCATTTATTGCCCATCCCCAATTGCCCAAAAGCCAGTTAAAAGTTAACCATATTGCTGTGGGTCTAGAGTCACGTGAAAGCCAGACTAGGAAAGGATGGCTGTTTCCTTCCGTAAAAGGAAGGAACCAGATGGGTTTTTCCAACAATCAAAAATGGTTTCGTTGTCAGACTTTTAATTTCAGACATTTACTGAATTTACAAATTTAACCTCTGCCATCTATAAACCAAAAACTTGTCGTTTTTGTAGCTCCATTTATGCTAACTATAGAATGTTACAATAAGGGGTTAATAACTGAATTTAAAGGGCTTAAAAATTCAGCAAACCAAATTTCTCTAAACCAAGAACTGAAATATTATAAACTCAACATGCTGACAAAGTCAGAAGGCTTGTAATTCCAAATAAACTTATAACCTGGTGTCGTGTGACCTGATTTTGTCCATCCCAGTCCAACACCAGCACCTCCACATCATTCAACATGTTGAGTGCAATTTTATAACACATAAGCAGTAAACTATACACCAAAGCTGAGTGATAACGGTCTTGTCTTTTCCATGTAAGATGAGCCCCTAAAATAATCTCATCCCTTCGTTAAAAGGTTGTTACATTATGAAAATTAGCAGCTATAGGTTCTATAGTAATAAATACATAGTGACTGATATTTTAACAACTATCGCATTAAACAGATTTGTATTCAGACTGCTTCTGAAGTGAATTATGGTTCCAGTGTCCCTTCCACCTTAATAGGCTTGTGCTGAAATAGTACCCAGCTCCTGTCAACATCAATCTCTCCCAACCCCTACACTGCCCAATACCCCCAACCCAAAAAAAAAGGTTAAAACCAGTGTTCACATGGCTTTATATGGGCAAGGCTGGCTGGACCAGCAATTATTGCCCATCCTTAGCTGCCCTTGAAAAGGTGGCGGTGAGCAGTCTTCTTGAACCACTGCAATCCATTTGTTGCAGTGGGTTGATCCCAATTGCCATTAGGGAGGGAATTCCAGGATTTTGACCCAGTGACACTGAAGAAATAGCAATATATTTCTAAGTCTGGATCTTAATGTGTCTAACTTCGGTGCATATTAAGGCATTATCACAAGTTTTACAAGTTGGGATCCTGCAGCAGGTAAGCTTGTCTCAGGAGGTTCTTGTGGCGCAGTGGTCATGCCCCAACCTCTGGACCAGAAGGTCCACCCGCTCCAGCTACATATCTGAACAGATTGACTAAAAATTTATAAAACGGGCTTTCCAGAACTGCGCGACTTGTCCCGATAAACTGAAGATGACGGACAGGCAAAGGAACTAAGAAGAAACATGGAAAAATCCAGACGACTTACTTGAGCTGGTCGGTCGATCCCCGAGTTAAATTGAACGCAACGCGTTTTGGGAGAGGTCTGAGAAGCAGGGAGAGGCAAATGATTTAAGTCTAAAAGAATTTTGTTTGGCCCAATGTGTGTAGCAATGAGTCAGAAATTCCCTGAAATCAGCAAGCGCACAGCAGCCAGAACTAATATGGAAACGGCGCAGCCCAAAGCCGCCATTTTGTGAACCAAACAAACAACAACAAAACCGACTTAAACTCCGCCATCAGCCGCTGGCTATACTCACTGTCTGCACCTGTTATTAGAAATCACTCGATCTCCCCTTCTCACACACTCCTAGGATCACTCGATCTCCCCTCACATCCTGGGATCACTCGATCCGTCGCGCTGATCGTTAACGGACATTCCCCTCCCACCCGCTTTTCAAATTGTTGGCAGTTGCTGATTGGCTTCGAGACGGGACTTTCCGCAGAGGCCGCCCTCAGTTTGTGGGAATAAATTTCACTTCCAGTTTCGCTCAGGTTTCCCCTTTGTACCGCCTTTCTCGCATTTCCCTCACTCACACCCCCACTATCCTGGAAGAGCAGCGCGTGTGGTGTGGTGTGGTGTAGGGGGCGGTGAACCCGCTGGTGGCCACAGGTCTCCCTCCCTCTTACCCGCCCGCCATCTTGAGCTCAGAAATGGCCACTTCTGAAAAAGGGTCACTGGACCCGAGACATTCACCCTTCCACATTTGCTGCTGAGTTTATCCTGCGATTCCTGTTTTTGGTCGCTGATGACTTGGCATGATGTTCAGCACCAGTCCTACACCATCACCTAAACACTGAAGCAACTTATGCCCACACTCAGCAACAAGGTTGGTAGTATCTCACAGAATCAAGGCTAATGTGCTGAGGACATAACGTTCAAATCCCATGATGTCAACCAGTGAAATTTAAATTCAAATTAATAAACCTACAATTCAAGGCCAGTCTCAGCAGCAGTAACTATGAAACTAGAAATAATTGTTATAAAAGGTCATCTGGTTTACTAATGTCCTTTACCTAATCTGGCCTACATGTGACTCCAGACTGAGAGCAATGTGGTTAACTCTCAAATCGCCCTCTGAAAAGGACTACCAGGCCATTCAGTTCAAAGATAATTAGGAAAGGGCAAGAAATGTTGGCTTTGCCTGCAATACCCACTTCCCATTTGTTTTTTAAACTGAAGTGTTTGCAGCCATCACACTTTAATGTGAATTGTAGATATAACCCATAATTGCTTATGAGATACCTCAATGCAGTGTACACTTATGAAAATAATTGAACTGTATTGCAATGCATATAATTTTAAATTTGAACTGTTAAGTGATATGATTATGCAAACTTAATGTATGAATAAAATTTTAGTTTAATATCCAGTACGCAGTTAGCTGGGCAGTAAAATGAAATTGATGTTTGGAACCACAAAGTATATGGGCTTGCTCTGTTCAGTCCACATGTTCACACAACAGTTTGCACATTCTGCCTGTGTCTGCATGGGTTTCCTCTGGGTGCCCCAGTTTCCTCCCACAGTCCAAAGATGTGCAGACTAGGTGGATTGGCCAAAATAAATTGCCCATAGTGTTCAGGGATGTGCACATTAGGTGGGTTATGGGAATGGGTCTGGGTAGGATACTCAGAGGGTCGGTGTGGGCTGAGGAAGAGTGACCGGACCTGAAATGTTAACTCTGTTTTTTCCTTCACAGATGCTGCCAGACCTGCCGAGCTTTTCCAGAAACTTCTGTTTTTGTGTCGGTGTGGACTTATTGGGCCGAAGGGCCTGTTTCCACACTGTAGGGATTCAATGACTTCTATGATTGCTGTAACTCTATGGATAGTGCACCTCCCTTTTGGGAGATTTTCAAAATGAACAACAGCTTTATTCAAAACAAAAGTAAAAATATGCAGATGCAAGTAATTTGAAATAATCTGCCCATTTTGTCTCCCATTTCTTACAAGGTTTTTATATTACTTTTTTTTCTTGATTTTGCTTTTCCAAATGTACATCGTACTACCATTCTCACCCCTTTTTATACAACATTTGTTTCTTTGCTTGAAGCCTCCGCCATCAACTATTCACATCTAATCACTATCTAATCCCATCCACCTCTGTAAGGATCTACTTCCTCCATGTTTGACATTACTTTGTAAATCCATATTACACATTGCAGGACTTTGTCAAGGCTTTATCCACAGATAAGGAAAGGAGTCGGCCTGGTGGTGTTATTGGTGAACTGTTAATTTGGAGACTCTGATTGTGAAGACTCAAGTTCAAGTCATGCCATGGCAGATTGTGGAATTTGAATTCAATAAAAATCTGGAATTAAGAGTTTAATGATGACCATGAATCCATTGCAGATAATTGAGGAAAACTCATCTGGTTCACTAATATCCTTTAGGGAAGGAAACCGCCATCCTTACCTGGCCGGCATGTGAGTCCAGACCCACAACAATGTAGTTGACTCTTAACTGCCCTCTGGGCAACTAGGGACGGGCAATAAATGCTGTCCTAGCTGTCACAATCTCCATGACTTCTACAACTTCAGACCTCTAAAATCTGCTCCAAGTTGCATATCATCCCATTTGGACATACTTTACAGACAATTCTGGCGAGGCTCACTGGATGTGAAACATTAACTCTGATTTCACTCCACAAATGCTGCTGGACTTGTTGAGCTTTTCCAGCAACTTCTGCTTTTGTTTCTGATTTACAGCATCGGCAGTTCTTTCGGTTTTCATTACAGACTCTTCATTGTGGCTGGGTCAAAACACAGGAGAACACCTACCTAACAGCACTTGTAGGACCAATTAAATAATTTAATCATAGCAGGTTTTAAACAAAAAAAATAAGATTTCTGAATAAACACAACCAAAAGGAACATATTCAATAAAGATATAATAATTTTGTTAACCATTCATTTTGGTCAGTTGTATAGAAATATAAATGCTTACACCTCTAAATAGCTCCAAAACACATGTGCAAATACATAAACACACACATTTCAAAGGAAAAGAGGTTGAAAAAATATTACCATCACCATAAACATGGTTTCTATGGACTGATGAGGTCACAGCTAACTCATTTTCATTGCATATTCATAATGCTGGAAGATTTTAACCAGACAGTTGCTGCTCTTTTACTGCTCCTGCCTTACTACCTCTCCCTCACTGCCTCTCCTTCATCAACTCTCCCTCACAGCATCACTCACTGCCACTGTTCTTGTGCTCTAATGAGCTAACTTCTCACTGCTCGCTTTCTCCAATCACTGGTTATTTCTATTCCCATGTTTGCTGCAAACATAAGAGCAAAGCAGCCTTTGATTCGAGGAACAGCTTCTCATCGATTCTGTCTCTTCCGTGTACAGGTCAATTTTTCTTTCACTGGTTGCCTTGTGATTGAAGTTTCCGGGGCTTTCTGGGAGCTTGTGGGCCCACCTTCCACATGTATACTTTGACTCAACGGCCTGTAAGCTCAGTTGACCACAACATGCTACTCAATAACACCAACAGTATGAGTTCCATCATCCTTTCAACTGAGGTAGTGCTTGCGCCTGCCTGTTTTCCTTGCCCAAATGTGATACCATGGCATGGAGATGGGTAGAAAGCCATGATTCACAACCCAGACAACAGGGTACTACATGAAGAAAGAGAGAGCGAGAGAAATGGACCCTAGGTTTAACGCCATTTCTTACAAGCAGCACCTCTATATTTGATGATGCAGCTGCTGCTTTCAGTTGCAGGAAATACAGGACCTGCCATTCTCCTCGGCTGTTAGACATGGTTTCTGAAAGATTCAATGATCCTAAGCCTGTATGAAAAACGTTTGATTCACACTTTTTGAAGTTCCTTTTACGCAACTTCCCATGTCAACTTTTTTAATGAAACTGTGACTCAATCTGCAATCAATAAAACTGGGAAATGATATGACATCATTACTAGGTAATTGGAGCACATTGAGAGGGAGACTGAAGGGCATCTTACTATTAATAGTGAAATTATCCTTAACCTTAAGGAGATTTTTGCTGATTGCCTTCAGTCTCATTCTCAGTTTGAAAATGTATCTTTTAAGGATGAAAGAAGAAAGTGTTGGACATTTGAAATGAAAACAAATAGGAAGTATACAGCAATCGGATTATTCTTCATTGGATAAAATTGGGAATAAGGCTTAAGCTACTTTTTCGTTGGTCATCCAGGATGCAGTCACAGACTATAGCACCAGTGCCTGTATCCTGACTGAGACAGATCAACTCAACACAGTCCAATCTTGCAATTCTTTTGATTTGTTTGAAATACTTTGTATCTGAACAATGAGCTTTTGTGGGTTTTCATTTAAAACAGCAAAATTTTATTTTTCAAGATTAATTCTGTTCTGAGTGATTTTTTTAAGTAACTCTATGTTGAAGGGATAGTCAATTCTTTTCATTTTCCTAGGTATATGTTTCAAGGTTTAAAAACCTCACATATTAAAAAGAAAAATCTTAGCATGTGCAATCCTCCATGAATATTTTAGTGGAGACTAATTGTTTCTGACCTTTGGCAATCCCTATTATGAAGCTAGTGGAATATTTGTCTCTTCGTTTGACTTGTTATCAGAAATGATCAGTCATATAGAGAAGTTAATGTTTTAAAACAATGTGTAAAATATTTAGTTGTGAAACAATGGTAAAATTATTCAGGCAGTGCCTTGCTCAAATACTGCTGTCATTGTGCAAATATAAAAGCAGAAAAATACTAATCAATTCAAATACATGGCCTTGATAACTTTACAGCTTAGAAATTAAAATAGATTTTTCATAGTAATTCTTACATAGTACTGCAAGAAGTTTAACTTAAAAAACACAATGACTCTAATTTGATGAGATGCAGAAAATCATGCCATTGTTGCCCAATTTTTATATTTGTTATAGGTTCATCAAATATAGGCAGGAAATTCCCTTTTAGAATGCTTACCTGTTTTGTGCATTAGTCTTCACCTCCAGATTTTTAGATTTGTTCTGATAGTATGCTTTTATTTTAGCTACAATCTGTGGATTCTTATTAAACATCTCTCTAATGTATATTAATGTCTTCAGCCTTATTGATGACTAGCAAGGCCAGTATGTGTTTCCCATTGCTATATGCCCTTAAGCTGAGTGGCTTACTCGACTATTTCAGGGGTCAGTTAAGTGTCAAACACATTGCCATGGGTCTGCAGCCACATGAAGACTAAACCAGGTAAAGATGCCAGATTTCCTTCCTTAAAGCAGATTAGGGAAACAAATACATTTTTGCAGTGATAAATTGTCACAGTCACCATTAGTGAGGCATGTCTTATATTCCAGCTTATTTATTTATTCCAGATAATTCATTTATTTCACTGCCATTTCTGGAGTCAAAGTAACCTTGACTGTACTTTTTTCAATTTGATGCACAGGTCAGATCTGAAAGCTCAGTTTATGAGACTTTAAAGTGAAGGGAATCCTTAATAAAATGAACCACTGACAACTTGTATCTGTGACGCACTAAAGAGAGGCTGCAATACGTGCATGGTAACTGACT